TTCTTACAAAACTTCTTTCGAAAACATCCTCGCCTATGCGTGCCTTGAAACATATTGGCAACTATTTCTACTAAAGATATATAATTCGTTTTGCTCGCAAAACGATTCGCGTGCTGTTCGTGTGATTTAACTCGCGACACAACCGCCCCCCCCCCTACCCTCCTGCCTTTTGTGCATTGACGAACATGTACGCGAAATTATCCAAATTTTCACACATAATTTTAGTTGTTTTCGAGCAATTTATGCCGCATTAGCAATGTTTGGATGCGTCTTACTGTACGATACGACCCTGATACGACGTCTGTGTGTGCATCGTATTTTGCATAGATTTTATTTGAGAATGAGATTCCAGTTGAGAATACACTGCGTTCGAGTGTACGCTACTCCTTCCGCGTTATACACTCACTATGTACTGTACGCGCGCGTGCGCGCATACGCGTGTGCGTACGTGCGTGAGCGTCCGTACATATTTATCGTAGTCGTTTATCGTCGGTCCGTGTGATGTTGGACGTTTTAACGCAGTGTTTTGTTCTGCTTTGGAGACAGCACACAGAAACGGCGTATGACTACCAACCAACCCTGTAGCTTTGTTTGTATAGCCTGAAACCATGCGGGCCATGGATACGGTGGCGGCAGTCAGATAAACATACCACATAAATAATGCTAGAGGTAGCTAGAGAAATATGATAACCTCGATACGAGTGCCTATACGTATGTAATGATGTGTATGTGTGTATAGGTATGTAATGACGTGTACATATGCCTAGGCGACGTTATTGTGTACTCTGATGGTTGGATTGGGGGAGAAATGGCGATGCACATTTTTTTAATTTTACTTATTTTTTATTCTTCGCATCTCTATGCAATACGCAGTGAGTCGCATGCGAGTATCTTGTGAGGCTTACGGCCGGGCCGCGAATTTTTTTTTCCTACACGTTATATCAATTGGGCTCTTCTGATTGGCTGCTTTGATTTAACCACACCCTAGATAGTGTTGGGATACCATAGATAGTATATAAGCCGATTCGGTTTATAGTTAGTGTTAGGGTTCGGGTTCGGGTTCGGGTTGGTGTTAGGATTTTTGCATCATTCCTTGATATACGAAAAGTCTGATGCGGAAGTTGATATGCGTATATCAAGCCCAATAGATATAACGTGTAGGAAAAAAAAATTCGCGGCCGGGCCACATTATGGCGGCTAGAGGTGACGTGTATATTTTAGAACTTCGGAACGTAGAAAGCGCATTTCTAATTACTACACATCTCGATGCATTACGCAATGAATCATAGAACGACCTGTGCATGAGAGTAGCACGTAGATTCAGATTCAGATTCATTTTATTTTGCACTTTTCATTCATTTGTACAGATTATTTCAGATAGAAGTAAAAAGGGAAAGAAATAAATAATATTATAGAATCGATAGGTTTAAGATAAATGTGCGTAGTGGTCAAAGTAGCCATAAGCTTTCGAGTTGACCACTGCCATAGGTAATAAAATGTCTGAGGGAAAGTACAATTAAACTAAATATAGGAAATAAGAGGGGAACAAATATATACATACATACATATATGGAACAGTATCTAGAACAAAAAATACAATTGATGTAATAAGTAACAAGAACAAAAAAGCAATTATAATATAATACATAACTAATTTCTAATGGTCCTAAATAACATACACTAATTTAATTTAATTGAACATTTCTGGCTGTCTACGTACAAAAAAAATATACATATATACATATATAGAACAGTAGAACAAAAAATACAATTGATGTAATAAGTAATAAGTAACAAGAATAAGAAAGCAATTATATATTAATATATAACTAATTCTCTAATGATCCTAAATAACATGCACTAATTAATTTAATTAATCATTACTGGTGTCTAGAAGGAATAGCTTATAATCATGTTTAAATTTACTGTGAGGCGAGGTTTTAATTTCAAGAGGAATTGTTTCCCATATCCTTGAGGCCAGAGACTTAAATCGAGATAAACCATAGTTAGTCCTGGCGGCAGGTCTGTGTAGATTACCCTTGAGGCATACCATAGTGTTGTAATTATGTATTTGTAAAGCAGAAGAATTAGATCAATAAGGTGCAGGAATATCCGGTTTTTTAGCATACTTGATTTTGTGTACAAGAGTTGAGATTTTGAGTTTAAAAACATTATCAAGATTTAGAATGTCTAGAAGGTTGTAGTATGGGGTAGCACTTTCTTTCTTTTTTCAGCAAAGAAGATGGAACGCATACATTTATTCTGTTTTGTTTTGATTTTTTGTAATCGAGTTTGGTAGGCAGTCCCCCAGCTCATTAGGCCATAATTAATATATGGGTATAAGAGGGTATACTAAAGTTGTCTAAGAGTGTTAATAGAAACATATTGTCTAAGTTTGTTTAGAATACCTATATTTTTTGCCAGTTTGTTATTAACATGTTTTATCTGTGCATCTCATTGTAAATGGTCATCAATAAAAACACCCACATATTTTATCTGTGTTCCTTTTTCTATGTTACATGTAGTTATTGAAATAATAGGCTTTTTCCTAGGGAAAGTAATGAGCATGTATTTTGTCTTCTTAAAGTTAATTGAAAGTTTGTTCACAGCACAGTATTCTAAGACATTTGCAAGTTCATCGTTTATAACTTTTTCTAATTCATTTAAATCTTTTGAGGAATAAAAAATATTGGTATCATCTGCAAATATTTTAAAGAATAATTTATTGGAGGAATTTGGGAGGTCATTTATATATAAGAGGAATAGGATCGAGGGGCCCTAGAGTGGATCCTTGTGGTATGCCGCATGTTACATTTCTTAAACTAGATTCTGTATTGTCTATTTTGACATATTGTTTTCGATCGTTTAAATAATTAGTAAACCATGCATGGGGTAATCCTCGAATTCCATATTTATGCATTTTTGCTAAGAGTATTTGATGATTTATTGTGTCGAATGCTTTAGAGAAATCTAGGAAAATTCCACAAGTTATTTTGCTTCCATCCAATGCTGATTTTAGATTTTCTATTGTTTCAAGAATTGCATATTCAGTTGAATAGCCTTTTCTGAATCCAAATTGATGATCGTACAGTATTTGGTGGTTTTCTAGGAAAAGTATAAACTGATCATGGACTATTTTTTCAAGGATTTTACTAAAGGCAGATATAATAGATATAGGTCTATAATTTCCGGGGTCAGTAGCAATTCCATTTTTAAATACTGGAGTTATTCTTCATATTTAAAAAATATCTGGTACTATTTTTGTCATGATTGATTCATTATATATTTTAGTAAAAGGAATTGATAGGTCGGCACTTGCCAGTTTAATAAATTTATTAGGTGTGCCAATATAGGCCTTGCCTTCATTCAAGTTAGCAAAAAGAGTAAAAACTTGAGATTCCGTCACTGGGGACATGAAAAAGCTAGAAGAGGGAGACTTATTTATATACTGGGTAGGTTCCTTTGTTGTTTGGTCGCATTTAAACTTACCTGCCAGGTTTGGGCCTACATTAGCAAAAAAAATGTTAAATTGATCAGCTATATCAGCAGTATTAGTATATGTCTTGTTGTCACAGATAATTTTGGTAGGGAGGGACTGTCCCTTAGTTTTCCGTTTTATAATATTACCTATAAGCTTCCAAGTGGATTTGAGGTTATCCTTATGCTTTGAAAATTGTGAACTATAATAGCCAGTCTTACTTTTATTTTTTAGATGTGTTAGTGTGTTTGCATACTTTTTGTACGTCTGTATTTTTTCAGGGTTTTTACTAAGGAAATGTGTACGATACATTTTTTGTTTTCTTTTAATAGATTTCAGAATTCCACCTGTAATCCATGGTCTATTTAATTGTTTTTGTTTACTCCGAGTGGCCTGTTTTATAGGGGCATGATTATTAATAATGTTGTTTATAGTATGAATTGCTTCATTGGTTTTCTCATTCAGGCTTTTTGTAGGTAATAAGATTTCTTCCCAGTCTATAAGGTTTATGTCATTTAGAAATTGTTCATTATTGAATTTAGAATAATCTCTATAAAATTGCTTACTCGTAGTTTTGCTTATTTGTGTTTTAACAATACAGAACACTGGTAAGTGGTCAGATAGATCAACAGTAAGTATTCCTGGTATAATGTTGGAGGTAGGTGTATTTGTATAAATATGGTCAATCAGGGTTGAGGTATGATCCGTTATTCTGGTAGGTTTGGTTATAATAGGTAGGAGACTGTTGGTGTAAAGCATATCAAGATACTCTTCTGTTGGGGAGTGCATATTGATCTTTAAAAAGTCAATGTTCATATCTCCGAAAATATAAATTTGATAGTTAGGGTTTAGTACGGTAATTATATTATTAAATTGGGCAGTGAATTCAGTGAGGTCATAGGTGGGGTGCCTGTATATACAACCAACAATAATGGGTTTTTTGTTTTTACCATTTTCAATTTGGGACCAGCACGATTCATTACGTAACTTTATTGCATTGCCTTCTTTTGGTGTTGTGTGATGGACACAGAAATGGATATAAACATAGGTATAGATATAGACATAAGCGTAGACATAGACATAGACATAGACATAGACATAGACATAGACATAGACATAGACATAGACATAGACATAGACATAGACATAGACATAGACATAGACATGAACATAGTCATAGACATAGACATGAACATGAACATAGACATAGACATAGACATAGACATAGACATAGACATAGACATAGACATAGACATAGACATAGACATGGATATGGACATAGACACTGTCATAAACGTAAACAGTAAAGGTGCATCTATGTTTTTATTATGATCCTTCCCCTGTTTTCCTCTCCATTTAACACAGTCGATCACCATTTGTCCTTCATCTCGACTCCTCTGCCTCACGTGGTCCACGCGACGTCTGGTTGTCCGCGCGCTCATGCATATCGCGTTCAATAAATTCATAATGAACCGCGGGTTGTAACTAGGCGCCCGACGGGTCGATCTTCGCGCCACGTACGCGTTCACACCTGTGCACGCCCCTCTCTCCGCCTTCTAAATTCGTCACGAGTAGCTGGCGCGGTTAGCAACGTTCATGTTGTGATAAACAAGCACGGGGCAGACACTGAACACCACAAGCAGTCCGACGCAGCAAGCCATTTCGGAACTTGCCTTTGTTAAGTGAGGACGGGTAGTTTAATCTTGGTCGTTCTTTCGATTGTCGACTTCATACATAGATAGACAGGATAGCGAATCGAGCGGTAAGTTTGTTTCAAAGTTCACACTGTAGGGTTTGCCGATTATATTAATGGCGATTATTATCAACCAGCGCAGTACGTGTGTTTACTGTTACGTTCCACGAAGACTGCTATTGTTCATAAAAATGGTTATCAAGTTATTTGTCCGATTCTGGTAGGTGTGTAGTGGTAGAATGTGGATCCGAACGTTTTAGTCTGCACTCCGCGCTGAAAAAACCATGATATTTATGCTCCTGCTGCATGTAGAAAACACGAGCAGGATATGATGAGTTTATTGTGTATCGAAAGAAATCTACCTCCGATCCACGTGCCTGTTGTGTGTAGAAAACACTATTAGGAAATCACGTGTGTATTGTGCATCGAAAGAAGAAACATCTACCAGCGATTCATTTGCCTACTGCGTGTATAAAAAGCTATGCCCAGAAATCACGTAAAAATGGTGTATTGCAAAAATATCTGCCAGGAAATTACGTGCCTCCTGTCTACTACTACTACCATGAATTATAATAGGATTTGTGGGACACAGTGTTATTAATAACCCATAATAGCATTATGCCCTACTATATGAAGATAGATGAAGTTAAGTAGGAAAACCGTCGAAACAGCAGTAGCGTAATAAATGCATGTTTAATTTACGTTTAGCTTCACTGTAATTCCTGGCACTGTACCAAAGCTCTGTGGTTATATGTATAAAATATAAGTCAATAATAACTCTCTACTGGTGATTTAAAGGAGATGCGGGAATCACTAACTATTGATGTTGACATGTGTAAACAAAATCTACTTTGAATATACGTGTAATATATTTAACCAATTGCACAATTATATTTGTAATACTTTTGGTGCATATATTGGTGAAAAAAATGACGCTTGTGTTCTAATATATGTAAATCTTACTGTATACACTTGTGGTTATGCAAGGAGCACCGGTAAGTGTCAGAACAGCTAGCGTGAAAATATGAGAACGGTTTGGAAACAATAGATGCCATTACTTTAAACGGATTAAATTGTGTTTTAACTGCATATTTAAACAAATAATTGAAAAATTTCACCTGAGCCGAATTATAGCTTATTAAAGCTCGGGCACTTATGTGCATTAGATAATTAACGTTTCATCAGTCCATCTGCCGCGTAGAACCACTGCCCTTTTTGGTTGGCGTATAGAACGTCGCATATATAATGTAGGAGCTTTATCTTCTGTTACAGTAGCAAGCTGTAACTTGAATACATAATCGATTATGAAAAGCTCCCGAACAAAACAAAAATCAATACATAAATTCGCTGGTTAAAAATTCGCGTACAATATTTATATTTCCGAGTCGATTTACAATGCGTGTGCTATATTTACACCATCAAGTCTATTCACAATGCGTGTACTTTATTTACACCATTAAGTCTATTCACAATGTGTGTGCTATATTGCACAACCAAGTCGATTCACAATGCGTGTGTTATATCGCATCACCAGGTCGAGCCTTCTATGGCGCGCACAATTCCCATACCGCAAACTACATCCCCATCAGTCTAGGTCATCGTTACTTATAGGCTTCGGAAGAATCCACTTGTATTCGTATTTTCGACGAGGAGAATCCAATTACGGGAGCTGTATCCCGTTAATGACTCCATCAGCCTGGAAACATCTGCGCTCGCCTGCAAAACACGGCCACATATAAATCCGCCACTAGACAGCAGCACCTGCTAATTTTTATACGTGCGGAAAAAGTGAAGACGCTCCTGAATGTGGTGAGAATGAGTCGAGCATTCGTGTTATTGGTATTATTCACGAGTGAAGACAGTGGCAGGCAGAGATAGAGTGAGAGAGAGAGAAAGAGAGAGAGAGAGAGAGAGAGAGAGAGAGAGAGAGAGAGAGAAGAGAAAGCAGGAGAGAGGCAGTGAGGAGAGAGAGAAAGTGACACCACACACACAACACACACACACACGCACGCACGCACGCACGCCACGCACGCACGACACACACACACACACACACACACACACACACACACACGCAGAGAGAGAGAGAGAGAGAGAGAGAGCGCGCGCGTCTTGTCTTGGCAGTGTTGCGTCGTGTTGGTTATTCGACTGGTGCCGCGTCCTCAGTAAAACGCGAATGTTATCTGCTTGTAAATTCACCATGAACTGG